CCCAGCCACCCCCGCAGCCATCTGGTTCCGCCAGCTTTGCTCCCCCGGCTCCCTCCCTCAACTCACTCTGTTTGCCTCCCGCTCCACCCCCCCCCAAGCTCTGCCCTGTGGGGGCGCCTCTAGCAGCCACATGGTGCCTTTCTCTTTTGTTTCTGAGGCCTCACAGTCCAAACCCAGTGCAGTTTAGTGGGTTCTGACTCATGTTGACCCTGCAGGACAGAACAGAACTGCTCCACAGGGTTTCTGAGGTTGTAAATCTTCAGCCTCATGCTTCTTCCTTGGAGCAGCTGGTAGGTTTGAACCAGCGACTTTGCAGTTAGCACCCTAATGAACCAGGGCTCCTTCTGTTATGTGTCACGCCTGAGGCTAATGTGGCTACTATTTACCTTCTCACAAGTCTCAGTTTTCTCATCTTTAATATGGGTTTGAGATGAATGTTGTGAGGTGCTACTGAAGTGATTCCACCTCAGAGCAGAGCTGGCTCAGAGGGTTCTCTAGGCTGTAATCTTTATGGGAGCAGATGGTCAAGTCTTTGTCCAGTGGAGTTGCTGGGGGAGTCAAATTACAACTCTTGGTTAGCAGCCTAGCACTTAACTGTTCCACCAAAAAACAAACCTACTGCCGTTCAGTCAACCTGACTCAAAGCAAGCCTGTTAACGCCGAGTAGAACGGCCCCTTGGGAATTCTGAGGCTATAAATGTTTATGGAAGCAGATTGCCTCATCTTTCTCCTGTGAATCTGCTGGTGGATTTGAACTGCCAATCTCTTGGCTAGCAGTCCAACGCTTAAATTAAGTAAGGCTCCTTCCTCATAGTTCCAAACCCCAAACCAAACCCACTGGCATCAGCTCCTGTTTGTTTTTGTTAGATGTAGCTGAGCCAACTCTGACTCCTATCGACCCCATGTACAGCAGAACGAAACACTGCCCGGTCATGCATCCTCACAATTGTTAGGCCTGAGTCCATTGCTGCTGCTGTGGTGCCAATCCATCTCATTGGGGGTCTTCCTCTTTTTGCTGACCTTTCACTTTTCCAAGCATGAGGTGCTTCTTCAGGGATGTTGTTGTTAAGTACCATCGAGTTGGTTCTGACTCATAGCGACCCTGTATAGGGTTTGGAGAGGCAGCTGGTGAATTTGAGCCACCAACCTTGGGGTTCAAGCTGACTTTGCAGTCTAGTGCTTATCCTTCAGTGTCACACCAGGACTCCTTTCCAGGGATAGTGACTCCTATATAGGGTTTCTAATATTGTAAATCCTTACGAGGACAGATAGTCTCATCATTCTCCCAGAGTGGCTGGTAGGTTTGAACCACCCACTTTGCCATTATCAGCCTGATGAGTAACCCACAGCACAGGACTGAAAAACATGTGTGTGCATCTGCAGCAGTGCTATGGGGTCTGTATGCCATGTCCGTGTATACACATGTGCCCTGTACAAATGTGTTGTGTGTGCACGTCCATGTACAAGGGCACTCAGACCCATGTGGACTGTGTCTGGGGTAGGACGGTTGTGGTGGTATCTGGTGTGTACCTGCAGCAGTGATATGTGATGTACAAGGTTCAGCTGGCTCTAGGCAGGGAGGATGTTACCAGCCCCACTCACCCAGCTCTCCCTGGGCCAGTTGGCCCACCTCCAGTCTCCATGCAACATGTGGGTGGCAGTGCTCACAACATCCTCAGTCCGAGAAGCCACAACTTAAGAAAAGAGCTCTTTATTCCACGTTGTCCAATATTTTTACACAAGTAAAATAAAATGCATATCTCTATGTTCCGCGATTGGGTGGGAGGCGGCGCTCTGGAACAAACGCTGCAACACCCTGTAAACATGATGGGGTGGAAATGGGGGGTGGGCTGGCCTGCAGGTGGGGAGGCAACCTCAGGGAGGGTCTGCTGTGCCTACCGGGCTGTTCAGTGCTGACGCTGCGCTGGCTCATGGAGGGAGCCCGTATGCACAAACAACTGGTTGCAGAGAAAGGCCTTATGTCTGGGGGTTGGCTGGTCAGCAGGGCCCAAGTATTGTCCAGAGTGCCAGCACGAGGCCCAGAGGGGCAAGACTGCAGGCAAGGCCAGGCAGGGCACCTGAGCCATCCGCATCCCCACCTCCGCTGCCCCCGCCACCCGCCTGGCCCAGACGGCACTGACTGCGAGTGCGGTTTTTGCGGGAACAGCCTGGCCTTCGGCGTGGGCCAGTGGTCGGGGGCCCTGGCACCTCAGAGCCCTCTGGCTGCAGCCCGGTGAGTGGGGGCTCAACTGAGCCAGGTAAGGTCCCGAAGGGGGAGTCGTTGCTATGCCGTGGGCTGGAGCCATTGCCCGGCGGACTGTCACCTGGTGGCACACGCCCCTTGAGTGCATTGCCAGCGGAGGCTGGGCTCCCGGCCTCCAGAACTGAGGCCTTGTCCATGACATCTTGCTGGCAGCACTTGGGTAGCCCCAGCAAGTCCTCATCAGTCCAGATGGGATGAGAGGGCTTGGTAGCCACAGCACAACCTTCTAGGTCAGTGGCAACCAGGCGCTTGAGGTCGTGGCTGGCCAGACGAGGGGGCAGGCTGCAGGGCACCTCAGAGGAGGAACCACGGAACTGCTGAAGCCAGGCCCAGAGTGGGCGCAGCCGGCAGTCACAAACCCAGGGGTTGTCATTCAGCCGTAGGTATTGCAGGGCACGCAGTGGCGCCAGGGCCTCGGCGGATAGCGCCGAGAGGTTGTTGGCAAACAGGTAGAGCGTCATGAGGCGGCCGAGGTCTCGGAAGGCGTGAGGGTGCACATGGGCCACGCGATTCTGGTGTAGCAGGAGACGGTCAAGGCTGTGCAGGCCACGGAAGGCGCGCTCGGGCACGCTGGGGATCCGGTTACCATGCAGGAAGAGGTGTGTGAGGTTGCCCAAGTCTCGGAAGGCGTCGTTGGGCAGTGCCTGCAGTCTGTTGTCCTGCAGATAGAGGTACTGCAGGGCCACCAGGCCATGGAACAGGCCCGGGCCCAGCTCCTGCAGGCCACAGCGGTCCAGATGCAGCGTGTGCAGGCGGCTCAGGCCACGGAAAGTGGCAGGGTCCACGAAGCGCAGCTGGGCGTTGTCACTGAGGTCCAGCTGCTCCAGGAGCGCCAGACCAGAGAAGGCAGCAGCATCGATGCGGGCCAGCGAGTTGGAGTGCAGCCACAGGATGGTGAGGTTGCGGCAGGCGTGGAAGCCAGCGGCCGGAACGTGTGTAATGCGGTTCCCATGCAGGAAGACTCGCTGGCTTGCGGCTGGGATGTCGGTGGGCAAGGCCTGCAGACCCTGTTGTGGGCAGCTCGTTGTCACCTTTGGCTCATTGTAACACACACAGGCACCTGGACATGGCGCTGCCACCCTCCATGCCTGCAGACACAGCAACCATGCCAGCAGCTGGCTCCCTGCAGACAGACAACAGGTTAGGAAAAAGATCCCTGAAAAGCTGGGCACTAGGGCCATGCTAGAGTATGGTCAAAGCCACAGCAGCCACTGCTGGGAAAATGGGACATGCAGATTCCTGCTCAGCACACCCAGTGGAAGCCACCAAGCCGTTGCACCAGGGGAATTACACTTTCCATTCTGAGAAACCATGCCACCCACTTGAGGCCCAGGGTCAGCCAAGCCAGTTTCCCAAAGCCTCCTGGATGTTCACGCCTACAGTTATGAGCTGACCGCCACTCCCATCTCCACTCCCTGGTCCAGTCCTTGTCACCCCAGCAGTCAGATCAGGCTGGGAGACAGGGCAGGGGCCCTCAACAAACATGTAGGGGATGAAGAGGCAGGGCTGAAGTGGAGGCAGTCCTTCCAGACTGTAGCTCGGAACCCACATCCTGCTCAGGCCCAGAGCTGTGGAGCCCGATTATGGGGAGGTTCTGTCACTGTCACCTGGTCAGAAGCTGAGCTTTAACCTAGGAAGCTGTAGAGTCTGGTTGGTCCTTTACAGGGCGCTGGGAGGGCGAATGGACCCTGCTTGCTGTACCTGTACTAGCCACTCGCTCCCTCCCTCTATGCTTCCCCCTCATCACCATCTTTAAATCGCTTCCAGTTTGGGTAGTAGAACACTTCCTGCAGCCTCCTCCCCTCGGCCTCATTCTCGACTTGATTGCCTCCTGGGGCGAGGAGTTCACTCCTTCTTGGCCAATCTCCTGGCAGCAGCCCTCAGACACTGCCCTCAATTCTCCTGCCCAGATGGTACCCTGCCGCGGGTCAGTGGTGGGAAATTCTCAGTGGATTCCTCCTCAGTCCCATCATGGGGTGAGCTACACCAAGGCTCTCCACGAGGACCTGTCAGACAGGAGAAGCCTCCTGGGACACCCTAGCAAGTCCTGGTCACCAGCAGAACCTCATGCCCCAATACAGAGCTCAGGCTTATCTTTCTACCATTAAGACACCCCTGTTTTGAATCCTGAAGGCTCTCTCTCTGCCTTCAGGAATAAGTCTATTAAAATGTGGATCCCCCTGGGAGGGTTATGGCTTATCAGCTAACACTTGAGTTATCAGCTAACACCTTCAGTGACAGCTAGCTAAAAGCAAGGTTCTGCAGACATGAGGACAGCTAAGTGTAGGGGCTAGGAGCCAGGCTGAAGGAAGGAGAGGACCACGCCAGCTTGCCCACTTGGACTGTGGCCCAGAGCCTTACTACCTAGGTTGACCCCCTCTCCCTGCCCCCGCAGCACCAAACACCACACATTTGGCTAGGGCTTGTGCAGACGCTCGCCTAAACCTGGTTTGCAAACATGTAGGGACCAGGATGGCCACCCATATTGTCAGTCCATGTTCACACCCTCCCCAACTCTGGAGCTTTGTCTATCATGACCCCCAGACGCCCTCCTGGAAGACCCCTCCCCGCCATAGCCTGTCCCTTTTGCCCTGCCCACCTGTTGGGGCTAGAGACCATTTGTTGACTACCTGGGGGATGGCAGTCCCAGGATGGGGGCGTCCAGAGAGACAGACCTGGCCCAGGGGGCCCTGGAGCATGAGGCCCCTTCCCCAGGTCGGCTGGCATAAACCCGCCCTCCCCGGCCAGGCCGTGTGCGTGGGAGGTGTTGAGGGGGCAGCCTGGCTTGATGTTCTATTTAAACTGCTGACACCCTCTCTTCGCACAAGTCCTCCCGGGAAAGTCGGGTTTGAATGTGCCAGCTCCCTACCAGTGTGTCTCACCTGCTGTCACGGGAGGTAGCTGCTGTGTAAACAGTACTTCCTGCTCCCAGGACCTGGGGGCAGAGTGGGGACTGTGGCCCACAGGTGAACCTCATTAATAAGGGTGGGCCAAGCCACCCACTGAGGCCACGCTGCCTCCACACCACATTGTGACCATGTCCCACAACTCCTTGCCTGAAGATATAGCCTGTAAGCCTGGCCTGGCTTCCTGCCAGAGCCCAGAAGGCTCTTCCTCTGCCCTACAGGCCAGGCCCACTCCAGCCTGGGGCCCCTCTGAGGGCACAGCCACCCCCCTCCCAAGTGCCTGGAACAAGTCACAGAGGCTGATTCACCATGGGGCAGTGGCTTGGTTCCTCTGCACTGCCTGAGTCAGTGGGGTGGTGCTGGGGGTGCAGGGGTGAGGGGCAACTCCATCCTCTATGGTAACTGGCTCTCCTCCCCTCACCCCCACTGGTTTCCATAGCAACCCCTTCCTCCAAAGAGCAGGTGAGAGGCATCTTCTTGTATAATAAACCTAACTTGGTGTCATGGCTTGTATTCAGGTGCTCTGGGGTCAGCAGCCTGGGAGCCCCCACTTGTCACCTCCCATCCCATTCCTGCCCTAGAAAGACCTCTCCAGCTTGCAGGTCTGCACCCATCCACCCACCTCCTCTCCTTTCCCTCTCTCTAGTCCTGGTTGCCCCTACTAGTTTCTCTACTTCGTTCACTCCCCACTTCTCCACTGTGGTGACCCTAACTAACACTCCCTTACCAGCTGGGCCCGCAGGACACCTGGGCTCCCCCAGCTTGCCCTGAGGCTCCCAGCCTACAGGAAACCTATACCACAGCTGCCCATCCAGGGAAGTCATCATCATTCCTCTTCCATATAGATCAGGACCGAGTCCTGAGTTCTCCCCCAAAAGGGGCCACATGGGCTGTCTGGCTAAGGCTAGGGACTCCTCTCTGATCTGGCTCAAGGGTTCCAGTGAGGTGGAGGAGGGTTTGAGGGCTGTGGTCAGTGGGAGGACAGTCTGCAGGCCTGGAAGGTTCTAAGATTTCTAGCGGGGAGGAGAAAAGCCTGGACAGGACTGGAATGGAAGTTATCTGGGCTCTAGGATGACTTCTAGAAAGATAAGGGGCCCTGAGCAGCAGGTTTCCCAGCTCCATCACACAGCTCTCGGCTTCCTTTCCTCTGAGAAAAGTGATGGGGAGGTGAAGGGGGATCCAGAAAGCGAGAAGAAGGTCGGGGGAGGGGCAGAGAGGGAGCCAGGTGGGACTCCCCCAGCAGCCGCAGGAGCCAGAGTAGGCAGGAGGCTTGGAGGCTGCTGAGGTAAGCAGCTTGTGGCGCCAGAAATGCCAGAAACCACATCAGGTGATGATGGGGCGGCAGCTGGGGGAGGGAGAGAGTCCCTCCCTTCGTCACCTGCCATCCCCTCAGCCCAGTGGACCCTTGGACAGCTGAGGTGCAGAGCAGGATGTGACCCTGTCTGTCCCCACTCACCACAGCCAGAGCCAGACTGAGTGACCCGCCTACCCATTCCCCATCAGCCCAGCCTCCCTCTGCCTGCAGGGCCCCCTTCCTATTCCTCATGCTTGGGAGTCCTTAGTATCAAGCCAGGTGCCAGGGTGGAGGGGCGCAAGTAGCAGAGAGTAGTAGAAAGAAGCACCTTCTCCCCACGATGCTTGTTGCTACCCACAGGTGCCCGCATCATGGCTGTCACTGACAGTCTTGGGGGCCCCGAGCATGAGCTATCACCTCAGCAGTGCTTGGATGCCGAGAGGCACCACGTCCTCCTCTGTGCAGTGGGGCAGATACCCACTTCATGGAGTCCAAATGGGAGCCGACCGCCAACACAACCAGAGATAGCACCAGGCAGTCACATTCTCCATTGTCTCCAGCTCATTGTCCAGGAAAGAGGGAATGGGTAAACCCTGCAGATGCCAACAGAACCACAGGGCGCATCTGGCTCAAGCTAGGAGGGCAGGGGCAGGGGGAGCTGAGTCTGCATGGGTCCTTGCTTTGCTGTCTGTGGCTTGGAGGGGACATGTCCAGGGAGCTGCTGAGCTGACATCCTCCCCCCAGAAGTTTGGGGTCAGCTAACTTTGAGGGGCCAGACATAGGGGGAAACCATAGCCCAGCTGGCTATCGGTCAACTCAAGACCCTTGCCAGCACCAACAATGTCCTTCGAGGGGCCACATCACTGATCGCAGTATGAGGCAGAGCAGGAGGCCAGAAATAGCTCAGGGGGAGGGAGGACAGGGAGGAGAGATGTCCACATGCTGCAGAAGGCCAGGGCACCCCGCAGTGCCACGTGCACACCCGCCATCCCTGGTCCCCACTCCTGCCGGCCCCCACCCTCCCAGCGTCCATCTGTCCGGCCCCCGCATCCTCACACACTTCTCACACCCACCACCTACTTGCCTCCCCTCCTGGGTAGGGCACTGATGCACCCAGAGACACGTGCAGGGGCAGTGCCACATCTCCATGGCACTTCCGGTGCCCCCTCTCTGGTACCAGGGTCTCAGTGGGACAGCCCACCCTGGCAGGGGCCCTGTATTTCCTGCAAGTGTGACCTCGGTTCCTTACCGCCCCCTTGCATGTGACCCCAGCCCACAGCCTGCCCATGGAGTACATGGGGCAGGGCCTGGCCTGCCGCGCCCACTCCCTTATTGATCTCTCTCCTTGGTGCAGTGGCTGCAGGAGAAGGGCAGGCAGGCTGGGGTTCTGCAGGACTATGAGAGGCAAAAGGAGCCCTGGTAGTACACTGGGTTAAGTGTTGGGCTACTAAGTGAAAGGCTGACAGTTCAAACCCCCTAGCTGTTCTGTGGGAGAAAGAAGTGGCAGTCTACTTCTGTAAAAAATGACAGCATTGAAAACCCTATGGGGCAGTTCCAACAACATGAGTTGTTCTAGCCTCATGAGTTATTTCTGCCTGTAATTGTCTTTTAGTTATTTTGTGGTTGTGACAAGTTCTGGTGGTGCAGGATGCTAACAGAAAGATAGGTGGTTCAAATCCACTAGGTGCTCCAAGGGAGAAGGATGAAGCATTCTGCTCAAAGATAGTCTTGGAAACCCTACGGAGCAGTTCTGCCCTGTCCTATGTTGTTGCTGTTGTTAAATGCAGTCAAGTTGGTTCTGATCCATAGCGACTCTGTACAGGGTTTCTGAGGAGCAGCTGGTGAGCTTGAACCACCAACCTTGTGGATCAAACTGACTTTACAGTCCAGCGCATTAACCACTATAAATTGGGATAGATTGGAAGGCAGTGGGTATATGGGTATGATTACATGCCATAACAAGAGCATGGGAGGATAGGCCTGAGTCTGGCTTGGAATCCTCATTCGACTTCACTTTTCTAGGAGCCAAGTGTGCTCCCCACCCGCACCCCGTACTATCTTATTTAAGGCATGAATGTTCAACAGCTTATTTACCCATTTTATAGATGAGGAAAACAAGGTAGGGTGTAGGGAAACCACTTGCTCCCAGCTCTGGCATAATAGCATTTGAACCTTCCATTTTCCAAGCCCATAGCACCAAGGATCTGAAAGACCTTTCTGGGCAAAGAAGTCTTTTTTGGATAAGGCCAGGCTGCACGCAGAACCTCACCCCATCACAGAGCACATACTCCCCACTAGATGCCAATCTCCCTGGACCCCCACCCTGAGGCATGGGGTATGAGAGCCCCATCCAGCTCTAGGATATTACCAGTGCAGCCTACCACCCACAGCCCCTAGAGTCTGGGACTGAGCAACAGCCCCTCCTTCTCTCCTTTCCACTAGGTCATCAGTAGACGCACGATGCCTCATTTCCTGTAGAATTCTGTCTCCACCACGTACTCATCGTGGCCCCACAGTTAATGCAATCCGACGGGCAGCGTGGGCTCCAGTCCCAAGAGGAGGCTAATGAGGAGCTGGCTGGTGACTGACACGGCCTGCACTGGGGGGGGGCATGGGATGGAGGGCACCTCCCTGTCATGCTGGTCGCACAACCATCTGATCCCCTGTCAATCCCAACCATTCCTCAGTCCCTTCCTTCACCCTGGCTCATAAACATCACTGCCTGCAGTGACCCCTGCCTCACTGGCCCCTGCCCAGCACAGCTTGGAGGGTGCCTTGTCTGGCAGAGCCCTCTTACCCCTCCACACCCATTCCCACTGCTTCCCCTCACCCTCAGCCCACTAGACTGTGGGGTGCTAGTCTTGCTGCCAGCACAGTCCCTGCAGGGCTCAGAGTGGGCTTCTGATAGGGCAGGGCAGATAAGTACTGGAGCGCACACTCAGGGCACATACTCAGAGCACACAGTAGGAGCATACACATTGGGTATACAATAGGAACGCACACTCAAGCACACAGTAGGAGCACACACTCGGGGCACACAGTAGGAATACACACTCAGGGTGTACACAGTAGTAATACACAGTTGGGCATACAGTAGAAGCATACACTTGCGGGTCAAGCTAGGAGCACAGACTCAGGGCGCAAACAATAGGAACACAGACAGAACACACAGTAGGAGCACATATTTGGGGTCCATGCTAGTAGCACGCACTTGGGGCACACAGTAGGAGCACACACTCAGGAATACACGGTATGAATGCATACTGTGGCACACAGTAGGAGCACATACCCAGGCTCTCCTGGGAGGCGGCTAGAGCAGAGCAGGACGAGCTGATGGGCTGGGCAGAGATGAGAACTGGAGCCTTTGCCAGGAACCAGGTCAAGGTGGAAGATCTAGTCTCCGCTTTAGGAAGCAAGACCGAGCAGGTGCGCACATTGTCAAGAGCTCTGAGCCCTCGGCACTTGTAAAACATGACAGACAAGGCAGCAGGGCAGCCTCTGTCCAGATAGGATTCTCTTCTGCTCTGAGAAGACACATACAGGCAGCTCCAGGCCTCCGGAAGTCCACCCGCCCACCTGCCAGCTGGGATCTCTGCAGATGTGGCCTCAGCTGGGAGAAGAGGTGGACCAGACATCACCTGAGGGTGATAAGTAGCATCCTTGCCAGGTAAAATCCAGCCATTTTCAACAATATTCCTGACCTGATATGGCTCCCAACATCCATAGAGTGCTCAGATGTTGTCACAGAGCTGGTGACTTGAGGGTGGGGACAGCAGTGGGCACAGTGCAGTGCCTGTGGGGGCCATGGAGATGTCCAGAGAAGACTGGAAACACACCTGGCAAGGACAGGTGGGAGCCTGAGCATCCTGCCTGCTGGGCCAGTAGGCTCTAGCATTTTCCAGGGATGAAGGGATTCAAGCAACAACAAAGGACCTCATTTGAGTCATCAGGGACCAGGGCTACGGCAGCACTGGGTCCAGATGGCCAGCAGGAAGGACCTGTCACACCTCCTGTTTCCTACTGCCTTCAACACACCATGGCCAAGGGCTGGCACTTGCTTTTTATAAGAAAGTAACACTGGCAAAGAGCCACACCTGATCTGTGACGTGTTGTCTACAGCTCCTTTCATGGTACCATGGCAGAGTCGGGAGCTTTGAGAGAGATCATGTGGTCCACAAAGATGACATATGTAGTATCTCACCCTTTTCGGAAGAAGCATGCAGCCCTCATTTGCTATTAGAGCCACCGGATGCAGTGAGTGCCTGCTATGTGAGTGTTCTCTGGTAGCGTAGTGGTTACAAGTTGGGTTGCTAACTGCAAGCACAGTAGTTCGAATCTACCAGCTGCTCCACAGGAGAAAGATGAGGATTTCTGCCCCCAGGGTCACCATGATTCAGAACCAACTCCACAACACATAACCACCACTACCACCATGGCCTACCCAAGGTCATTTGAACCCCCGTTTAATGAAGAGGAAACTAAGTGTCAGAGAAGGCCAGTTTCCTGCCAAGGCTAGGGAGGACAGAACCAGGGGAGGAGAGAACCAGTGTGGAGCCCAGTCAGCCTCAGAAGAGGCTGGGCTGAGAGCAGCAGCAGAAGATAACTCTGAAATCAGCCCACACAGGTTAAAAGAACAATGACTATTTTGCTAAAGAGGCTGTCAGCAGGTTTGTAATCAAATACACATGAAAGAGGGAACTTAAAAACACAAACAGAATAAAATTGTTTGTAAGGAGCCAAGGATTGGATGTCCCCATGCACCCTGAAGCAGGCACTGAATGAAAACAGTCCCAAAGGCTTCATGGAAGAGAAGTCTAATGGAAGGCAGTTTGGAGCCAGAGGTAGGGGGTGGTTGGTCTCTAGAGACACAGCTATGCCCCCCCCCACCCCATGTCAATCCAAACTGCTACCCTGGTCCTTCCTCTGTACCCTGGAGGGTAGCTTGCTGATCCTTGGGCTTGACAGCAGGAGACCTTTAAAGGGCTGGGCAGATATGAGGAGATGCTCTGCCTCAGGTGAAGAGCCTCACATTTAAGAACAAAGAGGTTCATGACCTTGGGGCCAGAAGAACTAGATGATGCCCAGCTACCACTACCAATTGCTCTGAAAGGGATCCTGGAGAGAGTGGAAGAAAAATCTAAAACAAAAACTGAAAATCATAAAAACAACCAAATGTAATGCTCTGCTAGAGACTGGTAGAATCCTTAAGACGATGGCCCTTAGGCACCCTTCAGTTCTGGACGTGAACTCACTCATGTGGCTCAGTTTTCAGCCACAGAATTGACAGGTCTACAAGGGGAAAAAGAGCATTGGGAGGTACGAACATCTCAGAGTAACCAATCACTTGAGATCTAAAGGGCAGCACTGCCCCAAGGACAAAGTTCAGAAGAGTTAGGAAAGCAGGAGGAATGGAAACAGGAAACATAGAGAGGAAGTAGGATGAGGGATGTTACATTGTGGGGACTCAATCAATGAGATGAAACAAAATGTACATGAATTATTGGATGGAAAACTGATCTGTTCTGTAAACCGTTACCCAATTCACAATCAAAAGTGAAAAACAAAACAAAGAGCTAATCAAGATTAGGTCAGGAACCAAGAGGGATCTGAGAGCACAAGGCTTCATGGAGGCTGTTCCGGACACCACGTGGCTTTGGTGGGGGCTGGATACCAGGCATCCTGACATCTGCCCACTCCTGCATACCTCCAGAAAGTTGGTCTCTAGTAGAGGTGTTTGCTGTTGTCATCAGTACCGGCAGCATCACACCAGCCATGTGGAAGGCCCTGGATCATGGGTGGCCTAGAGCCCACCAAACCTCATGCAGTGGCAGGGAGCCCAAGTTGAGTGGGCAGCGGAGAGCAGACAGCAGACAGCAGCGCAGTGTGGTTGTGGCAAGCCAACTCAGTGGCTATGGAGGGTTTATGGATGAGCATCTATGTCCCAGGGGAGGTGCTGTCTGCTGGTCCACCATTCCATCCCAACCCAGCCTTACAGACACTCAGAAACAGCCTGTGCTCCACTCAGAGACAGGGCAGGGAGAGTTAGACAGGAATGAAGGGAGCAGGAGGGGATGGACAGAAGTCAGGATGCCAGGGATTCAATTATGTCCCCTTAAAATATGCATCAACTTGGGTAGGCCATGATCTCCAGTATTGTGTGGTGGTCCATCCATTTTGTGATCTGATGTAATTATCACTCATTTTTTGAGGTGTTGTAAAGCCCAACCTCTATAATAAAAGGAGTTCTGGGCACAGTGGTCTAAGTATTGGGTTGCTACCAGAAAAGTCAGAGGTTCAAACTCACCAGCTGCTCCAAGGGAGACAGATGAGGCAGTCTGCCTTATACGGTTGCTATGATGGCAGTAGATATACTAGTGTTGTTATGATATACTCATTGTAGGGTGTACCTCGAGTCACAACCTTACAAGCATCACATCCTTACTCAATTCACACCCTTTATCTTATAAGAGATAAAAGCAGAGAGAAGCAGCAAAGAGGAAAGGGACCTCAGTACCAAGAGCCAGGAGTGGTATGCGTCCTTTAGACCTGGGGTCCTTGAGCTGAGAAACTTCCTAGGGGAAGAATGACGCCAAGACATATAGAGATCTCCAAGGAATGCTGGCCCACAGATGCTGAAACAAGACGAGAACCTTCCTGAGCTGATAGAGAGAGAAAACCTTCCCCTAGAACTGGCATACTGAATTGGGACTTTTAGCCTCTGAAATTGTGCAAGACTAAAGCTCCCCAGCTGCAGTATTTCTGTTACAGCAGTACCGGAGAACTAAGATGTGGTGGGGTACCCCCTGCTGTGGCCCAAGGTGCAGATGTCTCCACATCTGTCTTTCCTGGAGGTGTCAGTGAACCCTCCAATGGACACATTGAGGGTGAGTGGCCATGAGCCCACTCTTTAGACAGGGCACAGAGAGTCAGAGAGGCAAGGTGACCAGCCAGGGCACCAGTGAGGTGGTGATGCTAGCAGATAAAACAGGGCATATCTGAGTGCCAGGATCCAGGAGGAGGGCTGCTGTGCCATACTACTCCCCACAGTACCTCTGCCCAGGCCTCCTGTTCCCTGAGCTGACTGAGTGTGGGTCCTGGGGTCTAGCAGATCTGAGCTTAGATCCAGGCTCTGCATCTCCCAGCAGCCGCTCTGAGTCTCCATCTTACATCAGTGATGAGAGGATGGCCATGGGACAGCGCCCATCTCTTGGGGGCCAGGTAACACCTTTGAGGTCCCCAGCCTGGGACTGGGCTCTCTGCCCATGTCCTGCTTCCCCAGAGGGCACTGCTGGTCTGACCTTCGTCAGCCCGATCCAGGCGAGCATCCAGAGCCAGGCCTGTCTCCTGTATCCTCTCAGCAGTTGCGGCTTCTCTGGTCTGAATGGACAGTTAACCCTGCCTTATCCAAGAGTGGCTGCAGCAAGAGCCTGGGCAGGAGGACGCAGTGGCTAGGTGTGTTACAAACATGACTGGAGGTACAGACAGGCCTAGTGCTGTGACCTAACTCACCTGCCAAGAGACCCCTGCCCATAATCAACCTAGATCACCACTGCTTCCCTGCTTACCCACCATGTTATAAGTGGCACTTTGGGAGAGGAAAGACTTGTGGGTTAGAGACCCCATAAGAGGAAGGGAACAGGGTGAGTGATGGGGCCGTTCCCCTGAAGAAATAGCCCAGGGGATGGGACTCCACCATTGCCATCTGGAGACCCCCAAGGGTGGTTACTATATGATCCCTTGAAACCTGCCAGCCAACAAGCTTTTCTCAACAGAGCTTCCAATCAGCTTCTAATACGACCAGAAAACCAAAGATCACCAAGCATCTGGAGATGGCTCCAATGCAAACCAAGATGGAAAACAACTCTAGAGGAAGCAGAGACAATGCAGGAATAGAGGAAAATTGTAAAGAAAGGAAAAAACAAAACAACAAATTATTATCCTCAGAGGTATAGAAGACAGAGCCCTAGTAGTGCAGTAGATTAAGTGCTGGACTGCTAATCACAAAGTCAAAGGTTCAAACTCTCCAGCTGCCCCATGGGAGAAAGATGAGGCAGTTTGCTTTCATAAAGACTCACAGCCTCAGAAGTCCTAGAGGGCAGTTCTACTTGGTCCTATAGGGTTGCTATGAGTTGGCATCCACTTGATGGTGGTGGGTTTGGGTTTGGAGTGGGCAGGGATTGAAGAAAATTTAAAACAAGAACAGGGTGCCATGAACAAGGAGTCATAAGAGAACAAGAAAGAATGACTGGAAATTAAAAATAGAATTGCTAAAATTTAAAAACAAAAATCAATAGAAGGGTTGGAAAACAAGGTCAAGGAAATCTTAAACAAGAAGAATAAAAAGAAAGGAGGGGGGTTAAAAAAGATAAGATTCCAAACTAACATCTGTATTAGGGGAATTCCTGAGCAAGAAAACAAAGAGAAAAGTTATCAAAGAAATAACAGAAAATTGCCCAGAGCTGAAGACCTCTCTCTCCACCATACAAACACAAAGAACAACATCCATAGTAGCCACTTCAGGAGTCTGGGGATCAAGAGAGGCAGGAAACTCCCAGAGGAAAGCCTGGGCATGAATAAATAACATTGAACATCAGACGGTTCCACAGCACA